CACTCAAATCCGCCGTTTTGTGCCTTGTTTTAGAGAAACCACCTATTCTAGCGTGAGTCATGAGACAGCAGTGACGAAACCCAGATCTGAAACGGGAACCAAAAGCAAGAAACAATAAATTGTTTTGTATGTGCTGTATATATCTCCTAAAATGAAAAGCGCCACCCATGCAACATAACAATAGGCTGGTTAGAACGGCACTCTTATTCTTTGATATATTTAAACTAACTAAACACTTAGTATTTCAATCACTTTGGGTATTTTCCGATTGCGCCCGCAAATCTTTCTCAAAATTTTTTTGCGGCCCTTTAATCTAGCAACTTTGAACCACCCCGGTATAATATACTATTATAATTTAGTCATACTTTCAATCCAGAATGGCTACCAAGAGCATCAAGTTTTGCTTTTGTTAGTTGGCAATTTATTGCAATGAGTTGGCCAACTTCATAGTTTGATAAAAGATTGCCGAGAGCATAAAAATCTTCTTCGTCCATAGAATTTTGACTGATATCAATGATGGATATCTGGAACCAGAAAGATAATGTATCAAATTTATTGCTATTCATGCAAATTTGAAATTCTGAAGTACGAACAAAATTTGTTTTCCAGTCTATATCAACATTACGCTTTGAAGGGTCGAAAAACATTAAGAAATACCGTGAATGCTAAGAAACAGTTACGCTCCATCTATATAAATGTTGCAAAAACAAAACTATCAGTAACTATCAATATGGGTAATAACGCAGAAAATGTCTGTGATCTCGCTAACGCCTCTTTTTACCATTTGTGAGATACCACAAGTAAGGAATATTGCAAAATAAGCAAGGATGCCCAACACAATTAGAGGTGATAGGTTTGGTTGCATATATTGGAGAAAATGTGTGAAAGGTGGTGGAAATATGTAGGGGTGGTGGACTATCTTCATTAAAGTCAATTTTATGATATAAACAAACCTTCCCGCAAGATTTGTATTCGCTTAATTCCTTTATTTGCTCTTTATTTGCTTTCGAAAAATCCAACGAGTCCATCAGAATTGTTTTGACTTCACTTCGACTTGCAAACTCAGTTATTGTAAGACATAGATCACATGGCATTCGTGTGATGGATCGGACATCCAAAACATTGATCTGAAAATATTGTATTAAATGAAGAACTATAAATCTAAAAATGGATGTAGGTTGGAGATGTATCGATATCACATTTTTGCCTATACCGATTGGACACTACCTCAATTATTTGTCTATAATCTAAGCACATGTTGTTACCGACTTACAAAAATTATCCTCGTGGTTCAAAACGTGCGATAGTTGCAAACTCGCAGCGGGAACAAATGAATAAAAGGTTTTATATAATAACCGCCTTCGTAAAATAATGGGCGCTCCCGAAGTATGTGAACCAAGATGGCAGAAACCAGAACGTAGTATGTGTACCAGGTCAGGTTTGGGCCATAATTTTATTCCAATTTTCCTTATTTTAGTTCTATCACGAGTTCGGGGACTAGCCAAGTGATTCCCGTGGTATTTGGTCTAGTTTTAAAAAGCATTCAATAAAGTTATTGCTGAAAGAGGGCGAAGAAAGTGTATTTCATACAACAATTAAATATTATCTCTGGAACGAACTAATTAGGTTTGCTGTAGTTATAAACACTTTTCACTGCTTGGCGTTTCTTTCACATTACCTTTACTATATTTAACATTGCCTTTTACGAATGAAGTCAAACACTCATTAGAATGAGATTTTCATACCTCGTAACGACCGAAAAAATTTGAGACATGAAATAATCGCCAACTCCACCATGAGTTTGATGGAGTGCAATTTTCTTAATTCAATGAGGTTCTTATTAAGTTACATTGGCAGTGGTATTTACGTTGACCACACGTTTCTCCGGAAAATTAGCGTGATTACAAACAACTAAGGGTTAGTATAATTAAATATTTTCATCGACCCAAATAATTCAAATATTTCATTGAACACAGAATATTTTTAATAAAATAACAGGAGTTCAGAACGCTAGCCATCCTAATGCTTGTAATTTATATTTCCACCTGTTCCTTTTTTCAATTTATCAATTCTTTCAAAACGGCCGATGTCGAAGTTTGATTTTATACATATGGCAGAACTATGCGATCACATCGGTGCTGTATGTTAAAGACAACTATTGAGAAGTGAATTTAGGATTAATATTTTAGTTTATTATGATTTTTATATTTTTTTGTCGCCTTCGATATTCATCATCACCGTTTGTGAATTAACCGTTCAAATTTCAAACGAACAATATTATCTTCACTGACACCGGTACGCGGATATTTATGAAGACGATAATTGACTTATAGTTCACTTTTCTAATGTATCTGTGTTATTTTCGCATTGGATATAAACTCCGCAAAGCTGTCATGATATTTCGAGTTGAAATGAAAATATGATCAAATCTGTCATTTCGGTATGTTAGCAAGAACCGAAATTTTCCCAGAATTCAAAATGTCCATTTAGTGACAAGTGATTACCATTTCCAAGCAAAGCAGCGCAAGTCCTGCGATACCAGATACTAAAATATTAAAGTGACGTTCTAAAATTTTGAGAAAATGACAAAATTGAAAGGATGTTATGACGTAACAATGCGCAACACTTGGTTGACAATCCAAAGTTCGCCCCTGACTAGTATATGTATGTTTCAGGAAACATTGAGACGCCAACTATATTAACCTCCATCTATATTATACCGTTAGCACCGACTATGCAGTGAATAACAAGGTAGATTAGAAATGTCGGCCAACTTTAGTCGATACAAATATCAATATTGGTAAAATGGACGATACCTATATACATATATTATTACATCTCGAATAGTAGCAAAGGAAATTGTTCAGTTTTTTCCATTAGTCTTCAACATCAATTTAAATTTTAATGTAAGGTTAATTAGTTATGAATATCATTCCGAATGCCTCAGATATAATTTACCTTTCCACAGATTTTCCATTTACTCAGTTCTAGCAGTTGCTCTTTGTTTGCCACGAAGCAATCCCATGGATTCATCAAAAGTTCTTTGACATCATGTTCAGATGCAAACTTGACAATTGCAAGATACAGGTCAAACGTCATGTTTGTGATATTTCGAACATCCAGAACTCGGATCTGAGATAGTTTAAATATCTCTATTAGGTAAATTAAAATGCATTAAACAACAGCAAATCTGAATACCCACATCTATATAAGACAGTATGCTCGTGAAGATTTTAATATTCAGACCACTAAGCCTATATATCAGCGTGTCCAAAAAATTTCGCCCGATTTTATATAACAGTTCCCATTTATAAATAAATAAAATTAATTTCAAACTTGCAAGTGTTAAAACTATAAAATCGGGCGGAACTTTTTGGACACCCTGTATATGATTAATTGCCTACAACCATCACCATAAACTCAGTACAAACAAACTAAGTAGCCAAGGCAGAATCTCAAAGACTTTAGCTTCTTATATACCAGTGGGCACTTATATACAACCTTGTTAGTGATTAAAACCCTGAATTAGCAATGTATGGAATGAAATTGCCAACTAGATAGAAGTACCATATTTGCAGACTAAATTATTTCATCATGTTATCAAAAATGTAATGAAAAAATTCATATTTGGGTCATGCTTAAAATAATATAACTGCTTGTAAGTGTTTGCCCAAATGTCTGGTTTGCTGTTAATGTATACCACGATCAAAATATATATTAGCTAGTCTAGGTCGTATATTAATTAGGATAAAGGTAGAGACAAGTGCAGGTGCGTGCATTTACGCAGGTGTCTGCAAAGAAAATTAGTGGAAATTGGGACAAGTTGAAGTATGGATATATATGTCAAATTAGTTCAGATGCAATTACTAAATATACCATGAACACCAATCTTGCAATGAGTTACATGGTATATCGGAAATGCCGGCCATATTTTAGGCAATACCAATGAAGATTCCCTAAAGTGGCCGATGTTACCAATACCGATGTATCAGTAAACTAATAATTGATTTTGTTAATTTACAATAATTTACCATTAGCATTTAATTTCAAGCAATGATTAATATCAGATCAGATAACTATAAAGCATCCTGAACGTTTCAAATTTATTTCACCTTTCCACAAACTTTCCATTTACTCAGTTCCAGCAACTGCTCTTTGCTTGCCTTGAAGCAATACCACGGATCCATCAAAAGTTGTTTGACATCATGTTTAGATGCAAACTTGACAATTGCGAGATACAGACCGAACGTCATGTTTGTAATATTTCGAACATCCAGAATGGATATCTGAGATAGATAAAATATGCTTATTAGGTTGATAAAAATACAATACTTCATGATAACTAGACCAGCAAAGCTTGACTTGAGAATTGACAAAGATAGCCTTCCCATAAATACTCTGAATCGCAAACCAATAAACACACATATACAATCACCATTGCAATCGTGGTGCAAACCAATGGAGTAGATAATGCTGAAGAGGGAAGACTGCGGTTTTTCTAAAAACGTAGCTTCCTTCATATCAGTGGTTGCTTATACATAGCCTCGTTAACGATGAAAGCCATGAAATAGCGTTGTATGAAAAAAATAATATTCAAAAATAATAATTGCCAACAAGACATTGGTACTACATGTGCGCCATAATGTTTTTACAATGGCCTGCTTTTGTTGCCGGTCAAAAGATATACAGTCAAAGTTTGCATGGTGGGTTCTCTTTTCAGGTGAGCCATATTTGGGCGATAAACATCACTAGGATTTATTAGTGAGTTGAGTGTATATGAGGCATTTTAAATGCTTCAGATTTTAATTACCTTTCCACAAACTTTCCATTTTGCTCAGTTCCAACAGCTGCTTGTTGCTTGCGTTGAAGCAATCCCACGGATCCATCAAAAGTTCTTTGACATCATGTTCAGATGCAAACTTGACAATCGCAAGATACAAGTCAAACGTCATGTTGGTGATATTTCGAACATCCAGAATGTGGATCTGAAATATATAATACCTCTGTTAGGTTGATAAAAATCTAATTCCTCATAGTAACTAGACCAATTAAATATAATTTGGAAGATCTTTTCTAGCGAATATTAAAATGTTAATAGAGTTTGTATAATTTAACAAATTTAAATAAAAAAACAGAGCAAACTTACTAATAAAATAAAAACCAAGAATTAAGTAATTGGAATAATGAACCATCTTAAAATTTATATTTCGACCTGTAAATGGGAATGTCTTCCAAGCACACGAAACTTTTCTTCTGTAAGTGAGCAGCCACGCATAACGAGTTTTTCCACTTCAATGTTTGTTAAAACTGAACCAAAGATATCAAAAGCTTCAACGGACATCGGATTTAAGCTGATATCAAATTCTGACACCTGTTAGGATGCAATACAAATTAATATCAGAAGTATAAAATAAAGTTAAGATATGTTCGTATAACTGTGATAATTCTAACATTTTAAGGTAATCGACTAAATATACATTAGTTTGACAGATGGGAGATACATTTTTTATCTCATGATGTGGAATTAAGTGTATTCTTTGTATTATTTTCGTCAACGATAATATGTAAATTAGTTTTTTTACTAAACACTTGCCTTCACTATAGAGCCTTTCAAGTTGAACTCGAAGTTTTTCAATAATTCTGCATTGAGCTCACATTTGACGAGGCGAACTTGTTCTAGATGACCACATCGTCGCATGACACATGACATTGCACACATTCCTGCTGCAGTGAAAGACTCGTTTTCGAAGTTGATTTCTTGAACATGGGATCTAATGAGCTCGGCATCATTGGCTTCATATAACGCACCAAACAACTCCAACTTCTGATAGGATTTCGTACATTGATTTATCTTAGTTGTGAGTGCATGTTTGAGACAATTTTGCTTTTCTAGTCCAGTCTCTGACAAAAAAAAAATTCAAAATATTTAGAAGCAGGGTTTACACTCTCCGGCACCCCATTCTGTTACCAATACAACGGTTATATTAAATAGTTACTTTCTACTTGTGGTAGATGTTGCATTGACCACTTAGCCATCTCGAATGCGGTAGGGTAATTAGAGTAGCTATGGCAAAATTATTCCTAGCTCTTGGCGCAATACGATAATATTTGATTTATTCAATAATTGTAACGTCCTGATTGCACTTACCAGTTGTAAGATCTCTGATGAATTGAGCTTTAATTTTTTGATCGAAAACAGTTCCACACAGGAGCCGTAGAACAACGGACCAGTGATCCTTGTGAATCTCGTTAGTGACGAATGCTTGAAAAGTTGCGAGATCCATGTTGGCGATGTACAGAGCAGCTAACATTTCTTGAAGGATTTGATGACTGAAGAACATCAGAGTATCACCTTCCAAAAGATGTTGATTGAGTAGTGAGCTGCCTCCAGGTACTTCTATGATGAGATCACGTACCATTTCTTTTGTAAGTCCTGCGTTTTTTAGATCGGTATTGTTGAAAATAACTCGCTGTTCTCGAGTGGCTTCAAATGACATTTCCATCAAATTGTGAAGAATTATTTCAATCAATTTTTTCTCCTGAGTGTGTGAGGAACGCATGAAAATATGAAGTACTTTTGTCATTACATCAGTCATTGTATTAGGCAGATTCTCTGGGTTGGATTTATGAACGATTGCATTGAAAATCAAGAATAAAGGGACAGAAGACAATGGCACGAGTGCAGGTGACTGAAACGTCATCTTATTCCAGGATTCTTCCCCTGTTTCACCTACAACAGCAGTAAATAGTTTCTGGTGTCATCACGTTCAAGGCCAGCAAGAGCAATAATTAATGGAGGTCGTAGCTCTAGGGGAAGGGATGCCATCCTGTGTTCGCGTGAAGAAATAACTAATGTTACATGGGGGAATAAGTTGCCTGATAAGATATTAAACATGATTGTGGCTGTACTAGATCTATCAGTATATGTCATTTTATTGTAATTTCCCTCTAGATTCCATGTAGCCTGATCCAGGCCATCAATGAAGAAAATTGCTTCTGATTGGTGTTGCTGAAGCCATTTATATCCCTTTTTTAAAGTTTGATCTGATAGATTGGGTGCAAAGTGTCCGAAAAGCAGAGTACATGGAGTTAAAGCTTCTTCTGGAGTTAAACCATAGGAAACAAGGAGGTCTCTGAAATTCAAGTGATGAACAAATTTGAATCCATTTTTCTGTTTCCTGAACAACCGAGCAAACAATCCCATTTTTGCTTTAGATTCGTTATCCAGTTCATTAGCGACGAGAACGCCTCGTGCAGTACGCTTCATCATTGTGGTCTTGCCTCCTCCAGCTTGACCCACTAGTCCTACGCATCGGCAACCTTCCTCACACAGCTGTTGGATTAGTTCTATTGGTGAGATCACTTCGACAATATTTTCATTCGCTTTTGTGACAGCGAATTCTTGTTCCTTCCTGTACTCTGTGACATCAGGTGCCATCTGGCCTCTGTAAAAACCAGTCACTTTGTTTAACTTGGGATTGACCTCAAATTCAGGTTCTTCCAAGTTTTGATCTTTGTAGCTTTCTGTAACATTGACTGTTGTTTGCTTCCATGTTCTCCAATTGAAATAATCAATGAAGCTTTTCACACCTGAACAGAAGATTTCTATCAAGATTTTGATTAAAAAGAGACTTTAGGTTAGATATTAAAAGGATAGTATTTACATATAGGATAGGTTTTACACATTTATGCTGATGGGGGGGGGGTGGAGGAGGGAAAATCGATAGGGCAGCTTATCCATATGGCGAACCACAGCATCTCGTCTGGTTACCAGTCAATATCGGGTATGAATTTAGATAGCCGGGTATTTGTTTTTGGATGCATGGACTTGATGGTGGAGGAAGCCACAACCGACCCGTGGTCACATGAACCACCCTACAGCTAATAGTTTTAGTTTAGTCACAGTAATTCAAAATTAGTCCAAAATAGCTGTGATATACTTGAATAAGAGCCAGTGCTCTTGATAAGAAAAAGGTTAATTATCTCAGATTTCAGATTCATGAAACACGTAAACCAATTTTGCAATCGTCAACGAGCAAAAACACTCAAAATGGGCGTCAGACATTTTTTGATGTGAAAGTAAAAGGAGAGCTTTCTAGGGTTAAAGGTCGGGAAACATCCATTGAAATACAAAAGTTTCAAAGCTTTGTCAAATTACGAAAAATAGCCCCGCGTTCGGTTTCCAGTCCATGTCAGGAATGGAAATAATGGACACGTTATTTGTTTTAGATGCATGGACTTAGTGGTGGAATAGTAATCACCCAGCAGTTGGGTTAATCCTCCGGCTTGTTTATAAGAAATACTATTTTTTGGATAAGCTACTTTCAAAGGATGTGTAATTTTATTCTGATTTTCCTTATTTAAGTTCTATTACGAGTTCTGAACTGTCTGTGTTAGCCAAGTGAATATACCCCCATAGGTTTCAGTCCATTTATACAATTTGATGCAAATTGAGCAAACAAAATTAGTTGCAACCAAATTGGTACACATACTTCTGGAGCGTCTTTTTTGTTTAATAATGATTTTTATATTAAATTAAAGGTGTTCACCTCCAAATAATTTCTTAGTAACTTGCTTGAAGAAGCCTGAAAAAAAGCATATGTCGGACGTCAGTGTAATGATAGATTTACAATAGTTTGTAGAGGCAAAACTATGAAAATTTGTTTAGTATTGACTTTTTTAGATCCAAGCCATGTGAAGATGGTGTATAAATGAATGTTACTTGTTCTAACCATTGAAATTTCAACTTTCATAAGATTGTGAGACGGTTATATAGAAGAGTTGCGTTTGAGTTGAGATAAATATTCTCGTTATGCAAAAGTTGAATTGAAGTGAAAAACAAATAAATTAATAGAATATGACGCATAAATATTTTAACAGCTATATGTTACACTTGTTAGTTTATCTTGATCTTGTAGACCCAATTAAAGAGTGGTTAGTAAAAGGTTTGTTGCTCCTAGCAAGATTGGACATTTTGGCCAAAACAAACCTGGTGGATTCCCTTTATACACAGAAGCAATTGCTGGGCCCGTTTCTGGCAATGGTTGAACCGGTGTTCCAGTTGGGACTGATGGTGTGGAAGGATGTGAAGGGGCTGCATCTTCAGAGAAATGAAATATTTGTTGACAAAAGTTGAAACATCTCACCATATAGTTAGAATTGTCAAAATACAGTTTTTGACTAAACCAGTTTGGGCTATGTTAGTAGTAGTCAGCTAGTAACAAAAGAACAGCTTAACAAAATCTGTGTCACAATATTTCAATCTATCAAATTGGAGTCAATCCCCAGTCAAGATCTAACACTTTGTAATCAAATTCAGCAGGCTAAGGGCTTGAGTAGTTTATTTTTTTGGTCAAGTTTGATTAAATTTGATTACCTGTATGATCTATGTTGATGTTGACGTTGCCATAAAAATTTGCAATTGCTCCTCGCCCTTTAACTATCGCTGCTTCAGCTGAAAAAATTACACGGAGAGTCTCTAAGTATAATTTAAAATTAAATATAAGGTAGACTTTGATGGTCATGACATTGTGTAAACAAAAATAATTAAAGTGATTTGAAACGAATATGTAGATTAAACATTTCAACAATTTACAAACAATGCAATTATAAAGTGCTTACCTGCGACCATGTTAACATTTGATGAAGCAATATCAGCCTTCATATTTTTTTCTGCTTGAAATAATACTGCAGAACCTGAATTGAAGATTGATAATCTCGTAACTTAAAATATTATGATAGTAAAAAAGCAGATCATATCTTGTGACTATGAACAACGCACCTGATCAAGAAAGTCATTTAATTTTTTATAATGATAAAGAAATATTACAAAGAATATTAACTATCAATACACCCACCTGCCACAAGCAATTCTTGATTTCTAACTTGTAGGTCAACACTGCTTCGATCTGCGCTCTCTGAAGATGATGTAGAAGCTAATATTGAAAAAGAAAGAAATTTACATGTTGCAAATATTTCATATTTGGTCATCACAACTATGCCACAACAAACAGAAAACAAATATCAGAGGACTAGGACTTAGAGAAATATAGAAAATATGAACAATATGTTGTCAACAATACAATACGTTTCAGCACAATTGCATAAACATAGTTTAAAATGCACAATAATTTTTTTCCAGTACGTATGAGACTAACTTTTTGCTCAAATTTTTCATCTTAGAAATATTATGCTGAATGAGAGATGGGATACTTCAATAGCACCTAGCTAATGAATTGTAAATGTTTCCAGTGAGTGGGGATGTGGAAGACAGTTTAAGATAAAGTAAGAACAGAGGCTGTTCAGGGGAACGATAGATGCCACGCACATCATTGCGCCAGACGAATCACAGGAATTCTTACTGTGCAGTGCTCCAGACCTCATTGGGTCGGTGGAATAGCACATCATGAACTTATGGAAGTAAGTGATATCAATTTTAGGTTCGGTGATAACTTGACCATGGTGACATTGGTTTCTTGGTCGTGAACATACTGAAAAACTCATCCCGCAGTGGAAAAATATTTACCAACATATTCGTGACTTGTGACCGGGAGCTGCCCAGGGCAAGTTTCTGCTAGTGATTCCCATACCCATACTTTCAAATAACATGAGAATGAAGAAATTGAGGATATTATGCTTTTCAATCATTTTTTGCAATTTTTAAATCAAGTGCGCTTTCAGTATGGTCAGAAATTAATTTTGCCACTAATGAAAAAATGTGATTTTGAGCACTCCAACCAAATTTTAAAACAACAAATTATAGAGTTAAAATTGATTTGAAAATTTGAATTTACAGCACTTTACAGTCTAAATTTCTAACCCTAACTGGATAATAATAGTTTTATTATTTTGAGCACTGCCAATTTTTTTAGGGGGCCCTGTAGAAAAGATCCTGAATTAAGATTAAGTACTGAACATATGGTAGATATCATATTATATATTCACTGGGTGACAGAAAATATCATATCCAGACTGTCGTAGTCAGCTTGTGAGGAATTTCACTGGTATGAAGTTTATATTCATGTTTTTTCGTGAAATAAAATAAGAGAGGATTTACACATTTAGCCTGGTTATTTATTTCAGATGCTTGGACCTGATGGTGGATGAAGTCATAACCAACCAGCGATTATGTAACCTCTCGCACAAAATTCCCCCACGAGATTCAAACCTGCGAACCCATGCAGAATAATCAGGTACCATGGCAGGTGTATTCCTGACACTTAGCACTGTGTTTCACACTGCCAACTCTTGAAAATCCTTTTGAATAAAAATAAAAACAAATAGTATACTACAAAGAGTTGGAGTGGTAGCGATGGCCACAGTGGGTGGGTGCACAGTGGGTGGGTGGAGAAAAAATGGCAAGAGTGAGGTAATCAATTCTCTTTTTCAAGGGAATGCATAACAACCTTTCCTGCGGCTCTTGTTAATGCTTTGAAAATTACTTGCTTCCACGGAAAATTTCTCATTGAAAACTAATCATTGACTTGAAATTAAAATGCGGAAGTCTATTGGTTAGTCCAGTGTTTCTCAAACTGTGTGCCGCGGCACACTAGTGTGTCGTGAGAGATTCTTAGGTGTGCCGCTGAGTAGAGCTCGACCGATATATCGGCCAACCGATATATCGGGCCGATATTGCGTGTTTGCCGATATATCATATCGGTCCAACCGGCCGATATATCTGATCGATATATATCAGCGTTAGCCGCTTTTCCACGTTCTAAAAAATGAGTATTTTTTCCTGGGAAATATCTGCGGCCGAGCGTTTT